TCAATGTTGTATATTTGCAAGAACTTTCAAAATGTGTAGAAAGTCAATTGGATTAACATTTATAAATTTATGAGAAAAAATATACATATTTATTATAAAATGTTATATTTTTAGTTATGTTTTAAAGTATATAACAATAAAATGGTTGACACATTAAGAATGTGTTTGGTAGATAAATAAACTAACTTATAATTTATTTGATTAGCTTATAAGTTCATTGTATTCAAATAAGCCCTGTTTGGTAGAACGAACTTTTTTAAAAAGCTCGAGCTTATTTGGTAAATGTCTTTTGGTAGCTTCTCAAATAAGCTCGTTGAAATATTTATTTCAACTAGTTTATCAACTAATTTTACTAAACACTTTCATTATATAAGCTATCTTTTCAGTTATAAGTTATAAAATATAAGCTCGAAAATTACAAGCTAATTTATCAACAAGTTTTACTAAACATATTCTAAGCGTGCCTACAACAACCCTAGTGGTAGAAAATTGATCAGCCGAACCAAATACATTTCTCGTTAATTTACTTGAATTTCTACGTTACTAAAATTTCATGGTTTCCTTTTTACGACTGCTAACTTTATCAAATTTTAGTGCATATTTGAAAATGCTACACAAGTCATATTGATCTGAACATAAATTTAATAAGCCATCATTATCAAATTCTCTTCGTCTTCGGTGTGAAAAAAAATAATAATAATAATAAATAATAAATAAAAATAAAAATAAAATTAAAAAAAATGAAGAAATCACATGGAAACAGTATTTCACCCACGTGAAAACGCATGAAACGCTTGTGAACAGAATTTTGCAAGTTTAAAATTAACCTTTGTGGGCGCCCCCATAAGTACAAAATCACACTATACTACTACGTGAAAGAAAAAGGGTACTATTCTCCTAGTTACGGAGCCCGATACCAAAATGAAATCGACCCGTTCGCTGATCGTTGAATGCGTATTCTAATCTTATTGGGCCCAAGGGAGAATCGACACGAATGCCCACTCCATATCCATAGCCACCTCCCGCCTTATTTCTTGCTCCAGCAGGATCACCTGATACGAAAGGCACACAAACTGTGTAATTTACGCTCACAGCGTAATGGGGTCAAGTGGCAAAGCGAAATAATACACAAAAGATTGTAGTTTTTCCTTTGTAAGCAGTCTCACAGTGTAATTAGGTAATTAGGAAAACGAAAATTATACAAAAGGCGGCAGATTTCAAAAAAGCTGGTAATCAAGTCAAAAGGGCAAATCAGACATAAAAATAACGGCCAGACCTGGAACAGTTGGGCCTGATCCAAGATCAGTACCATAGTCGGCAAATAGAGCCCCTTCAATTGGCCCCCTCTGCAAAACAACATCACAAGTTTGGGAAAATGTCTTAACTACATCTGTTTCACTTGTATTTGAGGAAAGAACAAAGCGATATATAACACAATGTATCGAATAAAAATAGTTTATAAAAACTATGCGTATGCTGGAAAACATAACAGATACAGGTACGAATCCCAAACTTGCATAAAAGATAAGTCTACCATAGTGTGAAAGATGCCAAGTCCTCGGCAAGGTTTAAAATGCATAAATTGAAATTGCATATGAATCCACACCCAGAACTTACCACAGGGAATGATATTTCTCCACTTCCAACTACGTACGAACGACCTGATCCAACTGCCCCTTCTTCATAACCTCTCACACTGTTGGTTCCACCAATTGGGAAGGCTTCGTGTGGAGGAAATTTACCCACCATACGACCACCGGACAAGCTGCTCATCAGAAAACAAAAAACCAAAAAAAAAAAGGTAGGCATTCAAAACCTGGTAGCTTTACAGACAGAATTTCCGTTTTTTTTTTTATTGCATCCTTTTAAATTTCACGAGGCAACTATATGCTACTAAGATTCCTCGGAGAACATAGAGTGAATTTAACCCCAGCTCACCATAGAAGAATGTGTGCAGGTCCAAAAGCCAGGCTCTGCCTAGCACGAGCATTCACTCTGTTGAAAACTAGCCAGTCTGGAAACACAGGGATCCCCTGATCCATGTTGAACACAAACTGCAATCATATTTCACAATGACATGCAGAGAGTTAATAGATTGTTAACGCATTTCAAATCGAAATTTTTGAGTCAAATGGAAGGGCAACTAACCATTGAAGAACCCAGGTCACCAGAAGAGGTATATACAGACTCAAGTTTAGCAAGGAACATTTTATCATAAGTATTGCCACTGCAGAAAAATTCAAAGCCAGGGCATCGATAAGAACCAGAATATGGCAAAATGTGAGATGATCCTGGAAGCTAGGCACTAGTACTCAACAAGGCCACATACCTTGCGGTAAGAGGACTTCCAGAGAAGTCCCTTATGATAGGATTTCCTTTTTCATCGTGAGCACCAGCACGCTTGAACACACAGTCAATCAAAAGTAACTCACTTTATTATACTTTTGACCAATGAACGAAAGACATTCGAAGACGTGGATTTTGAAAGTTGCAAGTAAATTTGAATTTAGCACCAAACCATAAATAGGTCTCGTGGGAACAAATATTCATCAAGTTCTGGACCACAAAACAAGCTTAAATATGCAGAAAATTGAGAAAAACAGCCAACAATTTATTCAGGTAGATCCAGAAAGCAAATAAATAGAACCAATTCAAATAAAAGCAATTCATCACCTAAATTCCAGAAACATACCTGAAAAATAAGTCCAGCTGTTCCATTCCACTTGGGCCTTAATGGCCTGCTGTACTCAATCCCACCTGTGATGCGTCCAATTGTCAGACGATTGTTACCGGGTTGGTTCCCGTGAACAAGTGTTCCCGGGGTTCTAGAGTTCTGAAGAGTTTCACAAAGTTATAATAAGCTTTCATGTCAGGACATGATGCACAAATTATATGTAGGCATTAGAACCTGAATCATGATTGTCCTTGATGTTCGCTTATCATCTCCTTCAATCCATGGATCGGTGTAGTTAACCCGAAATAAGGAATCAATTTGTCCCCTCTCCAATGATAGATGAAGTTTTTGGTTTCGTCCAAACAGGTTTTTATGATATATTGCAATGCTGCAAATGAACATATGTAACAGACATTTAGCTATAAGCCATGTATCCTAAAGCCAACATGACGAAGTTATTAGTATGCGAGCCCCAAGACTGAAAGCATTTGTAAGGCAGACATAGATGTGGCACAAACTATACACTTAAGAATTTTAAAACAAGAAACTACTCAGATCCAGTCAATTACCTCCCAATCAATCCAGCTAACGGCCCGCTTGTAATTCTGCAAAGGAAACAAACATCAAGTAAGAAAATTACCACACTACAAGCAGGAAGCAGAAATACCAAATTGTTGTCAATTTTTACTTACCCACTTGATATTCCACCACCTCCAGATATTCCACTTGCCCTTTTACGCTCAACAATATTCATTGTTAAATCAACCTTGTCAGAGTCTGGAATATTGCAGAAAGAACAATAAATAAACCAAGATGTAAATGGACACTGGGTTGACCATTTACCAGCATATTCACTAATTTTCGAAAGAAGCATGTAAAAAACATTTACCACCAGCTGGCTGTGGAATAATACTGACGTCGTCCATCACACCCATTGCCAACAGAGTATCCACGTCTCTTTTTCCCTGAAGTATACTGTAGACCTATTTGAATAAAATACAGCGCATATTAATTTACAAACAATAAAATTTAACTGGGAATTCAAGAAAATAGTAGTAGGAAAACGTAAAGTTCCCAAGTTGAAAGTTAAGATTTTAAATAGCCGCTGATATTGATATCGTAGACATGTTCAGACGAACAAAAATATAAATAATACACATACCAAGGGTGCGGAAATACCTGTCCTTTCTTTGTCGTTAGTTGCCTGAGTATAGTTTCTGGTTTTGTTTTCCCCACTGTTGGCTCACCACTAAGGATTAACAAAAAATAGCAGAATTATGAGATGAGTAATAAAAATGTGTTCACTTGATGCAGCAAGAATACAAAACCAGCTACGTACGTCTTATCAAGGAAGCGTATGGATAAATTGTTGACCTCTGCTTCTGAAACTTTTAGCTTAACAATACCTCCTGAAAGAATATCCACGCCTGAAACCTAATAAGAGTGACAAATATAGGAGATCTTAAAGTGAAAAGAAACCAAAGAAAGCAATTGAAAAAAAAAAGAAAAAAAAAAAAAGATGAAGTCCAGTAAAGATCAACCATGCCAAAAAGTCCCCGCTCGATGTACCAACCGTTAATGGAGCTTATTGCTTCATCTAGACGACTGATATTAACCACTTTTCCTGTATAGCATGGTGCAGTTAGGGAGAAGAGCAACATCAGAAACACAGTAACGTGAAGAGAAAAGTGATTTCATATAAGCATGTATTGCTACCAAACAAAAACACACCATATCCATCACGAAATGCATCCTCTATAAACTTCGATGGAAGAACATTAGCTCCTTCACAAACCAGTCCTTGAAACTCCTGATTTGGCTCTACCTTGTGACAAAAATATGTTGAAACACTTAAATATGTCGACAACTATTACATTCACAACTTACAATCCAGCTTACTGGCTAGTGGCTAGCATGAACTGACAGAAAATACTACAAATTAACATGTAGCCTGACTTCACATACAACTATAAAGTAGGAAGAAAAATAAAATCTTGATGCAAACAAAGACAAAATCTACACATTCAGTCATACAGCTCACAATTTATAGATAGCCAACGAGTAAAATTAGAAAGAGCACTCTGAAAAACTGCACTTTCACATCTTGCCCAAACAAAACAATATACCAACTACTACAAATAAATATCTAGCCCGTCAATTTGCCATGAAATAAATCTGCACTGGAAGCTTGAAATGAACCTTTGAAACATGCCCACAAAAATAAAGAACCCCGGCAAGCATTGCACTAATGTTGAAAGAAAAAAGAAATGAAAAGAAACCGTGTAACATAACTTGTCTGTACCTATGAGCTCACATGTCTAAAAGGACAAAATACCTCGTAAATCAACTGAATTCCATCACGGGTGTCGACCGCCACAGGAATACAAGACCTGAAGAACCCACTAGCGATGATCCTGTGCACGTCCTCCTGCACCTCCCGCACATTAAGCGCTGCATTGGGCCGGGAAGCTTTCAGAGCATTCAGTGCCTCGGCCTCCAAGTCCTTCCTCTCGAGCTCGTCCCCCTCCTTGTTTCTCACAAGTACTTCACTTATCAGAATCCTCTCCTCCTCGGCCGGTCGGCTATTGTTCCCCACGCTCTTTGACTGAGTCACCGGCACCGAGTCATCGCCCTTGTGCTGAACCACTGATTCCGGGTCATCACCGTTTGTCAATTGAGGGCCGGCTTCCGAATCCGATAGAGCTAACGCAGGGGAGCAATAGAGCGGTGATTTCTTCAACAATTTATCAAGTGAGAGACTCTTCAGATTGTGATTGGAAAGTAGCGGGTTCTTAACGAGCTGAGAAATGAAAGTGAAGGGATGATGATGGGAATTGAAGTTCAGGTTGAATTTAAATGGCAATCTGGCATATTTGTTCAGCGGGGAAGAAAGTACGGAGGTGCCGTCCGGGGTTGAGGAGAAAAGCGGGAGCTTAATCGAGGAGGAGACGAACCGAACGTCGTCGTATTGAGGCATTTTTTCGCCGGCGAGATTTCCGACTTCTCTAGGGTTTCTAGGAGGTTTGTTTTGGCTGCTGATAGAACAGCGGGACGAGTACAAAATTACAAATCGGAGGGCAGCTTCGCTCCGGGGAGGGAATTTGGGCTAGTGTTTTCTCGATTTCCTGTTTGTAAAATCATGTTTCTACTGCCCAAGAAAGTAGTGGTAAAACTAAATTCACACTTTTACTTCGTCCGGTTCAACCGTTCAAGTTGTGGTAAAACTAAATTCACACTTTTACTTGGTTCAGTTCAAGATGTTCACGGTCGAACCGTCCTATAACCCCTTAAGGGCCGATTCAAGGTCGTGTTTTATTCCTTTTTAACCCGTCGGGCCTAGTTGGTTTGCCTGGCCCCGGGTCTTCCGACGGTCATGGTTGTTTTTTTATTTTTTTAAATTATGATTTTAAAACGGCAGTTCGTTGGATCGGCCCATAGATATAGTCGGGCCGGTTCCAGGCCCAACATTTGAGGCCCGCTGACCTGGCGGGCCATGCCGGATCAAGAACTGGCCTGACATTTGAACACGTCTAGGTTCAATCTAGTACCATTTTTTTTCAAAATAATATTAATATGATAACACATAAAACTAAACAAATTTATAAAGCCCGACATGAATTGATGTATATACAAAAATAATAGTATAAGCCTAAATTAATAAATGAATGTAGTTAAATGTAAAGGTTGTTTGGTTCGAGGGAAAACAGGAGGAAGGAAGGAAAAAAAAAAAAGTTAAGATGTCTCACTGGTTTAGAATGACTTTCTTCTCTCTCTAGAGTAGATTGGTGCTTGTGTGTCATCCACGGTTCTTGCGGTTTTGGCTCTTTTGTCAGCTATTATTTTTGTTGGTTGGCTTTCCTTTCTCGTTTTTCCTATTTGTTGTTGTTTCTTGCTTTTGATCTTCCTCAGTTTGTTCTTTTTCTGTTTATAGAGATTTCTATCATCGTTTCCTTCTTTGTAGGCGTGGATTTGCAAGTTGGTCTTCTTAATCTCAATAGCTTCTTTTTCAGGTTGCTGCCTTGACTTTTAGTGATTGCTTACAATAGATAGATAAAGGCGTGGAATCGAAAATTTTGGGGAAAATTCAAAGTTTCAAATTGTCGGTAGAAGAGATATTGGGAATATCTACAGAAGTGAGAGCTGTGGAATACAACATGGAGGAATACCGAAGGAGTTTTTTTGGCATAATTTATGGTACAAAGAAGGCGAACTTCACGGGCTTAAGAAAATACCTTAAACATTATCGAACAAACCCGCGATCCGATTGGGATTAAAGAAATTAGGCATAAGTGTTACCAATTTATCTTCAAATGTAAAGGTGATTTGGATCCGGTGAAAAGGGGCAAAAGATGGTCTTTTGAAAACCAATACATTATTCTTGAGGAATGGTCGGGTGTTAATATGGAGAAGGTCCAAAGATTAAGCTTGGTGGATATCTGGATACAATTTCGGAATCTGCCTTGCCACTGGTTAACAATGGATGTAGGGTATAAATTTGGACAAATTTTTAGAGGGGTCAAGGATGTGATATCTCATAGATGGAAAGTGTTCTTGGTAGAACTATCAGAATCCTGATGACTGTGGATTTGACCAAACTAATTCCAAGAGGTACTTCAGTCACATGTAGTGGAAAAACAAGATGGATTGATTTCAATGAACATCTCTTATCTTTTTTCTATTACTGTGGAAAGATTGGTTACCAAGGAGCTTCGTATGAAGAGAAGAAGCAAGATGTGGAAAAGGGTCATGTTAGGGAGAAGCAATATGGGGATTAGCTCAGAGTTGTGTTCCATAGAAGACAAAAATAAGGGACATCCAACTTGTACAAAAGATTACTCCTCAAGTAAATAGAGCACAGATCTTAAGGTGGTGGTAAAGAGTGAATAGAAGACAAAAAGCTAATATACTAAATGAGGCGATGGATGGAAATGGTGAACAACTTATTAACTGTGACAAAGGAAAGATGTGAGATGTGAAGATGAAAGATGATGGAGATGAAGTGATGGATAAAAGTTGGATGGGCAATACTCAACTGGAAAATGTTCATATGACTTAGATTGTTAGTGCGGTTTATTTTAGAGACAAGATGAATATGATCTGTCGGGAGGGACAAAAAGAAAATGGAATCCTGATAGCAGGGATGTGACAAGGTGCGAATTATGAGGAAAGGAAAACAGAAGTAGAGAGTGAAGGTAGGGGTGGGGGGGATTGAATTTTAGAATGTGTTGGGTACTAGCCAAAAATGGGCCCGAAGTTCCAGATGAAGGTATTGTTGTGCAATTGTAGAGGTGTGGGTGCCCCCTCTACAATTCCCCTAACTTAAAGAGTCAATGGGACTCTACTCTCCAGATGTTATATTTTTTAGTTAAACAAAAAAAAAAAATAGTTTTTTTGTCTAGTGTTTGCAAAAATCTCTCAAGCTACAATAGATGAGAGTTAGTTGATCCTTTAGGTCGTAAAAAGGGTATGTTTGTAGGATAGGCTAAGGGGGTAAAAGTTATCCATATATAAAAAATCATTTGTGTCTGCAGTAGAATGTCAGGGGTAACACAAAAGTTGTGGATAGTGTTTGTATATACAAGTGTCGATAGTGGTATTAGAAAAATCAGTGGAACTTTCTTGAGGAAAAAAAAAAGTTAAATGGTGCAGGTACTAGTAGATAGGAGGTGATTTTAATGAAAATATGCCACATTTCTTTCTAGCCGCACAACGACCTTTTTTACGGCAATGTTTCATCAAACATGTCTAACAATTAAGAAAGTAGACTCAAAGGGATACCAACCATATAATTATTTTCTCCACCAGGTATTGAAAGGTCACGAAACGAGCCTCCAAATTCGGTTAGTTGTCGAAAGAAGTTATTTTGGAGCTTCAACAAAGTCACACGCGAGTCGTGTGAGCAGCCACATGACGCGTGTGAGTCTGCCATGTGATAAGGTGTCGTAGCATGAGGCTTCGCACCAAGATAAAGTTCTATCTCGTGATCCACAAATAGCATATGATCTATTTGAAGCGTGAGTTCATGTTTGAGTCACACGAGTTGTGTGGCACTCGATCCATAATCACAAGACCCGTATGACTTAGTCGGTTTTACACATTATTCCTTTTTTCGACGCATTTTTCAACCTATTTTAATGAAAATTTGACTCTAATTATGTAAATAACCTTTGGAAATGGTTCTAGGAGAGTTTTCTCAGAGTTTTAGAGGCCTTTGGAGGCTAGAAACATGCCCAAGATGAGCGAGAAAGTCGAGAAGAAGAGATCGACGAAGCTGAATAAGTTTTTTCTTTTTTCATTTTTACTTTGTTTCAAACTCAATATTTTATATTTATTTTTCTGATTTTACATGCATGTCTCTATACAAAAAAAAAAAAAA